ACGAATAACATCATTTTAGCGGCGATGCTGGACACTGCAACAAGGAGTTATCGCTAAATTGTGGGCTTGACCTTCCTGCCATTCCGCCTGCATACCAAGCTTCAAGGACCAAGGTGCATGGCGCGAAGCGCCACTGCAGTCTTGTATATATATATATATATATATACATATATATGTACACACGCGCGTGTATCGGAGTAGGCCCCGGGAGGGCCCAGAGTTGGTACCATTGGTTTGCATGGGGGTCCGGGGGGGCTTTGAGGGCTCCAAGAGGGCTCCAAGAGGGTCCAGAAGGGGCCCTGGACCCCCCAGAGGCCCCTAAGCTTGCCCAAGAGGCTTTAAAGCGCCCCAGGTTGTCTGGAAGAATGCTGAAGAGCGCACTGCGATGGCCCCTGGACGGGCCACGAGCGCTCGAAGACAGCCCAAGACTGTTCCTAGACGGCCTCAAAGGCCCTCAAGATGGTCCAAAATGCCGTCGAGAAGGCCCCCTGAGGGCAAAAATCAAGCATTGCCTATGTAAAAGCATATCTTTCCGTGATACTCGCTTTTCAGTCCTAATTGCGGCCGCGACGGCCCCAGAGGCTCCCAAAGGGAGCCGAAGACGGCCCAAGAGGCTACCAAGAGGGCCCCAAGACGGCCTCCAGAGAGCTTCATGCAGCACAAGAGAGCTCCAAGACGGCCCGAGAGGTTGCCACCGGAGGACCCCTACCGGGCTCAGCTCTCCATGACGGGCGAAGAGGGACCCGTGACGGCCGAAATGGGCCCCCAGACAGGCCAAAAAAGGTCAGAAGGATTCTCTCAAGACGGTCTAAGAGGCCGCAGAGAAGGCTCCCCAAAAGCAGAACATCTAAAATCTCTTCGGAAACACGTGTATGTCCGGGATAGTTGCTTCGTTTGCCACGTCGGTTCCAAAGGGCCCCCAAAATCGGCCCCAAACGGCCCAAGATCCCCCAAGAGGGCCCCAAGACGGCCTGAAGAGAGCTTCGAGAAGCACAAGAGAGCTCCAACACGGCCCAAGAGAGCTCCCAAGGTGCCCGGGGGGGTCTCCGGAGGATCCCGACATGGTCGGAGAGGGCCCCAAGAGGGCCCCAAGACGGGCTCAGCTATCCATCCGTAGCTATTTTGGATCGAGCCCTTTCAACCAGGAACTCTCTGGCACGAGCTTCCCCTCGTTTCTGACCCGTCGGTCCCAGGGTGGCTTGGGCCAGTCTGGCTCCCCCGGCTCCCACAGGCCAGGGTACGTACTGCATGCCCGCTTCCACTGAAAACGATGCGATGATCTCCGAGGCGAACGGGGAAGAGGAGGAGTATAATTGGATGGAGTTGCAGGGCAACGTCTACTCTGCGGGCATCGCGAGCGTTATCATGCAGATCGATGCCAAGAACAAAGGTGGCGGGGACGATAAGGTGAAGGGGGCAGTGCGCATTATTATAGCTGCTGCTGTGGTCTTGCTCGCGATCGGCCTGCAGGTCTTTCTCGTGATCAAGGTGAAAAGTCTGGTGTGCGCCAAGTCGGTGCATGCCATCCGAGAGATTTACAGTGAGTACGAGGAGCACATGTATTCCCAAACGGATTTGACTGTAAACGGTAAGCATAGGGGCAAAGGACCCGAGTTTTTCTTGCCGGATAATTTTGATAGTTTGGATGATGAGATCAAGGAGGACGTCTGCCAATTTCCGTTGACGCAGCCAGATTTCTTGTTCTCCATACTGTTTATGTGGACGGCCACCATCTTCAACGAGGTCAGGAAGTGTTTTAATTGGGCGAGACGGTTCATCATGATCACCGGGACGGATTATTCGGCGACGCATGTGCAAGTCACTCATGACTCTGAGAAGTACGGCCTGGACGAGGGGACAACCGGGCTGACAGGCCTCTCGAAGTTGATGAAGACGATCATCGGCGTGCTTTTTTTCGTCCAGGCCATCACCGCGCTCTTCCTGCTCTGGGTCGGGTGCAGGTGGCTCACGGCCACCCCCTGCTTCTCCGACCTCATTCTGAACGGGCTTGCCCTCACTTTCATCGTCGAGATCAAGGACATGCTGTACGAGCACCTGCTGCCCAGACTCTTCCAAGAGGAGACGGAGGTCATCCGCGTGAGGAGGGAGTCTCTCTCAATGCATTGGGGCACTCTCCTGGTCCCGGTATTGTGGACAGTGGCCAGTGCCCTCTGGGTGTCTCTTTACATGGCCTGTCTCCAGCAGGTGCTCCCGAACTACAGGTGGGACATCAAGGGGCCCTGCTCCAATTTCCTCATGGAGATGACCCGTGTCTGAGATCGGCGAGGGCATCTAATTTTTAGGACCGCGGGGTGCGGAGAGCTTTCTGTAGCGCCTCCTGCCGCCTCCTCATCCTCGCTTCTCGCCAGCGTTGTGTGTGTTGACGACTGCCGCCAAGGGCGCTCACCTTCGGCCGCGCCAACCGGCGAGACCTGCAGGAGGAGCAGAACTCCCAAGCACGCGAGAGACGCTTCGAATGATCTGTCACCGAGGAACAAAAAACGGGCCCAGCTCCCCATCCTCCTCCTCCTCCTCCTCCTCCTCCTCCACCTCCTCCTCCTCCTCCTCCTCCTCCTCCTCCTTTGCCTCCTCCTCCTCCTCCTCCTCCACCCCCTCCTCCTCCTCCTCCTTCTCCTCCTCCCCCCTCCTCCTCCTCCTTCCCCTTCTCCTCCCCATACTCCTCCTCCTCCTCCTCCTCCTCCTCCTCCTCCTCCTCCTCCTCCTCCTCCTCCTCCTCCCCCTCCCCCTTCCCCCTCCGCATCCTTCTTCTCCTTTTACTCCTCCTCCTCCTGCTCCTGCTCCTCCTCCTCCTCCTCCTCCTCCTCCTCCTCCTCCCCCTGCTCCTCTGACGGGCCAAGATGGACCCGGGACGGCCGAAACGGGCCCCCAGACAGGCCAAACAAGACCCCAAAAGTCTCCCGAGGAAGGCCCAGCGAGGCCCCAGAGTTTCCCACAATGTTTCCACAAGGTTCCCAGGAGGCGTCCCAGTAGGCCCCCCATGAGCGTGTGGGAGGTCTCGCGTCTACGTCCTGCAAGATCAATTCCGGGGCTTCCCCAGGCTCAGAAACATGCTGCGTGGCGCCAGGAAGTAACCAACAACCGCCATGGGCGGGAGGGTGGCATACGCACGTTGGCTTTCGGACTGTCGGTGGAGCTCCCACTGGGACACGATTTGCGTGAGTGAGTAACCCAGTCGCCCTGGGGGTGCGTGATGTTGCGCGAATCCTCCCGCAGAGGGGTAAGTGCAACCGCGTCCTTCTTTCGCACAATCCGTGTGATGGGTGCGTTGAGATGGACGGAGGGACGCAGTCGTGGCCGTGGGGCTCCTTGCTTCCCTCGGGTTTTCCTGAGGGTCTGCTCTCTGTCCTCTGGTCGTCGTCGTCGTCGTCATCGTGGTAGTCATGCCGGGAGGAGGAGGAGGGGGAGGAGGATTAGGAGAAGGAGGAGGAGGAGGACGAGGACGAGGACGAGGACGAGGAAGAGGAAGAGGAGGAGGTCGAGGAAGATGAGGATGAGGATCAGGATCAGGAGGACGAGGAGGCTGAGAACGGGTGTCAGAAAAGTTACCACAGGGATACCTGATTAAGGTTTGGCAGCCACGCGTTCGTAGCGACGTGGCTTGCTGATCCTTTGATATCGGCTCCTGCCCCTCCAAGTGTGAGCTCCAAGACGGCCCAAGAGAGTCCCCAAGGGGCCCGAGGGGGCCACCAGAGGATCCCTGCATGGTCGGCGAGGGCCCCAAGGCCCCCAAGACGGGCTCAGCTTCACATGGCGGGCCAAGAGGGAACCGGAACGGACGAGACGGGCCCCCAGACGAGCCAAAAAGGCCCAAAGGGCTCCGAAGGAAGGCCCAGAGAGGCCACAGAGACTCCCACAATGCTTCCACAAGGTTCCGAGGAAATCTCGGGGATGGACAGACCTCCTACCCTGACACGTCGGTTAAGGAATTGGCCGTTTTCGGTTCGCGAGAGGGCGTCGCGGCCGTCGTTTTTGCGGGTCCAGGTCCGTCGGTTTCGGTCCCAGGCCGTTTTCACTAAGGGGCTGTTTACTAAGGCGAGGTTTGTCCACCGCCGAATGTCAGGGCTTCCCGTGACGCCACAGAGACGTACCGCGTGGCGCCATGGAGTGACCAAGACACCCCGAGTCCACGGTCAGGGTCAGGGGTGTACCGCCACGGGCGGGAGTGCGGCCTGCGCACGTTGGCTTCCGGACTGTCGGTGGAGCCCCCCTTGGGACACGACCTGCGTTCTGCACGAACGAAATGGGCACGGAAAGAACGGGTACAATGCCCAACAGCGGATCTTGTTCATTTTGAGCAGGACTCGCTGTCCACGCCGCCGCTGCCTGTGTCCATTCGAGACAGAAGGCCGCCTGCCCAACAGCGGCCGCTGTTGGTTCGGGATAACGTGCCCATTTCGGGCGTCCAAATGCTTGAGTACATAACCCAGTCGCCCTGATGGTGCGTGATGTTGCGCGGATCCTCCCACAGAGGGGTAAGTGCAACCGCGTCCTTCTGCCTCACAATCCGTGTGATGGGTGCGTTGGGATGGTCGGAGGGGCGCCGTCGTGGGCTTCTTGATTCTCTCGTCCTCTCGGGGGTCTGCGCTCTGTCCTCTCGTCGTCGTCGTGGTAGTCGTGACAGGAGGAAGAGGAGGAGGAGGAGGAGGATCAGGAGGACGAGGAGGAGGATGAGGACCAGTGTAAACCCACGAGTCATCAACGATGTTGGAAGAAACCTTCCCTCCAAGCTCCCTCTTCGTAAGCCCCTACGGCGGCTCATTTCTACTGAGGGAACTGCCTCGTTGACAGACAGCCGTTTGAAGATCCTTAAGCATGCCCAAACAGTGTTCTCGAGATTCCAACGCGACGGTTCAACCTGACTGTTGCGTCTTGACGATCCTGAATCGTGCCCGAACGCCAACCCCAGGACTACAACACCGCGAACCAACGTAACTGTTGCACCCGCATGTTCCTGAATCCTTCCAAAACACCATAGGTGGTACGCTCATCATGTGAATCCGTAGAACTCTTGCAAATCAAACATAAAAAAACGAGTGTGCGCGGCGCTCAGGCGAAAGCCAGTGTGAAAAGGAACCGCCCTCAATGGGTGAAGTTCTTGCGAATGTTTAAAGCGAGTGCACGCGGCGCAGAGGCGAGAGCCACATTTTGAAAGCTGGCTGCCTTCAATCCGTGAAATTCTTGCAAATGTTTAAAACGAAGGTGCGCGGCGCTGAGGCGAGAGCCGCATTTTGAAAGCGACCCGCCCTCACTCCGTGAAGCTCTTGCAATTCTTACCAAAGAATGTGCGCGGCGCTCAGGCGAGAGCCACATATTGAAAATGGCACGCCCTCTATCAGTGAAATTGTTGCCAACTTTTAAGCTTCAGGGTCGTAAGTGGTGACGAAGACTCAGGCGAAACGCCCGGTCCGCCCAAAACATTGGCCTCGGGGTGCGACAGGGAGAAGCTATTTTGAAGGAAAAGAATTCGATCAGGGGTGTCAGAAAAGATGCCACAGGGAGAACAAGCAGCCACGAGTTCGTAGCGACGTCGCTTTGTGATCCTTCGATATAGGTGCCTGCCACCATTGAGACGCAGAAGCCCCAAAGTGTGTGATTGCTCGCCCGAGAGTCGGTAATGTGAGCTGGCCTCACACCGTCGTGAGACAGGTTCGTTTAACATTCCTGTCGCACTCTGATGATGATGATGATGATGAGGAGGAGGAGGAGGAGGAGGGGGAGGAGGAGGAGGAGGAGGAGGATAATCATACAGAAGGATGAGGAGGTGGAGGATCAGGAGGGGTGTCAGAAACGTTACCACAGGAACACCTGGCTTGTGGTAGCCACGCGTTCGTAGCGACGTTGTTTTCCCATCCGTCGATGCCGGCTCTTGCTATCACTGAGACGCAGAAGCCCCAATGTGTCTGACTGTGTTTTCGACAAGGGGGAACGTGAGTTGGGTGTAGACGACGAGGAGGATCAGGAGGACGAGGAGGATCAGGAGAGGTGTCATAAACATTGCCACAGGGATACCTGGCTTGTTGCAGCTACGGGTTCGTAGCGACGTTGCTTTTTCATATTTCGATGTCCGCAGCCAGTTGTTGGCCACAGGCTTGCTAGGTTCCGGTTCGAACCACACATTTTGAGATCTCCACCTTAAGAGGACCTCAGCGATCGCCAGCAGGCCTCCAGGATGCCCCAAGACGGCTCCAAGAGGTCCCTCAGCAGAGCCCAAAGAGGCAAGATCGTTCCGTTCCCATGGGAAAGCGTACAGTTCTATCGCAATTGTTGATTTCATGTGCCCAGTGTACAAAACGGGCCCAGGGGCCCCTAGGAGAGCCCTCCGACGGCCGACGAGGTCCACCAGAGGGCCCCAAGACGGCCCAAGAGAGCTCCAAGACAGCCCAAGAGAGCTCCAAGACAGCCCAAGAGGACCCCGAAAATCGCCAGCAGGGCCCCAAGGCCCCCCCCCGAGATGACCTAAGAGAGCCACAAGAGGCCCCGAAGAAACCCAGAAACACGCCCCAAGAGGTTCCACCATTGTTTCCAACATGCTCCCCTGAGGTTTCCCCAGAGACGCGAAAAGGCATTAACGAACGTCACACCTAAAGCCCAGGATGTGGAAAAGGCCACCAGGAGGGGCACACGTGGACGAGGGGCACGACTGCCCCCCCTCTTTGTGTTTTTTTGCTTGTCGTTTTCAAGAGCTCAACTCCTTCTCTTGCTATTGCATTCGTCTTCGCCGCCGTCATGCTCCTGGATTCTGCTTTCTCTTGGCGACATCCAAACCGCCCTCCTCGTCCAGTTCGTCGTCCTCCTGGAGTCCCCAGTGCTCAGGAAAGGGTTTTCCACTAACCCCGAACGGGCGATAGTATAGTACCCCCCATAACCCTTTATATTTCTTGTATCCCCGACCACAGGGATCTATATGTGGGGAAGGCGCGGGGGCCGAACTTGATAATCACCTGGGAAGTTGCGGGGGTCGAAGCTGTTATCATATCATGCTGATGAGCAGCAACATCAACAACTCGGATAATGGCCATGATGGTCTCGCCACACCAGCTTCCGCAATCACGAGCGTGTGGCAGGGCTGTGGGACTCTCACCAGTTCAGTTTGCCCACGTTACGACCGTGCTACAGGGCCATGGGATTCGCATTTGCTTAGCCGTTCCCGGGTCAGGAGCGCGTGGCAGGGCGATAGGGACCGATTGGTTTTGAGATTGCGCATGCGTTTTTCGGGTAGGCAGAGCAATGGAGTTAGTTAGTTAAGCGAATTACTGTTTGAGCGCACCTCTCACACGGTTCGTGGCCCTTCCTCCACCTCTTCTTCCTCCTCCTCCTCCTCCTCCTCCTCCTCCTCCTCCTCCTCCTCCTCCCTCCCCTTTCTGCCCCCGCAGCTGCCCAGGCCCAAGCTTCTCCGAGTCTCCGAAACTCCAAGCTTTCACGCGCCTCGCGGTCGCCGGGCGCCCAGCAAACCGTGCTGGAGATGGTCTACCAAGGCGGGTGCCACACCAACATCGAGTACGGCCACATCTTCAACGAGAAGGACAAGAGGCGCATCGAGTTGGCCGTGGCGGTGTTCGTCAAGACCTGCGTCGAGAAGAACGAGCGCGTGCACGACATTTTCGATAACCGCGGAGAACCGCCCGAGGACCTCTTCTGGCTCATGCCGACCTCCAAGGCCAAGCTGCAGGAGCTCGCCAAGAAGAGATACATGGAGCTCGGCGCCGAAAATATCGAGGAGCTGACCCACGGTGTTTACACCGAGCGCATCGGGTTAGCCCCCCCCAAGCATCGCCGCCGAGCTCCTTTACATCCACGAGCTAGCGCTGCCGATCAACGAGAAGTTCGAGCCCGTCGAGCATTTGCGCGCGAGGCCCGCCGAGAGTGCCGACGTGCACTTCCACATGATTCCGCGCAGGGCCCGCGAGTAGTTCAGGTGGTGCAGCGAGACCTCCGCGGCCTCGGTGGCGACCGACGGGGTCGTCAAGGCTACGACCCTAGCCATCATCAAGTGGTGATGGTCCATCAAGAAGACCGCGGACATGAGCTACGAGCTGCGCGAGCACAGCTACCAAGACAAGCGCGACAAGCAGGACTACTCGAGAACCGTTAAGCAGCAAAAGCACGAGGAGGTGCTTCTCGAGAACCACATCGAACTGCACTTCGACAAGTACGCGTCGATTCAGGAAGGGCACAACGAGCTCAGCATGAACAGGCGCGATGACGAGAGGGGCCGGGCCGACGCGACGGCCGAGTCAGAGCCCGCTTCGTCTGAGCGCGCGAGCTCCCCGAGCCAATCGCCCCATGCTTTTTCGCTACGAGGGTGCCTTTTCAAGGCGCGCGCTCGAGCCCCACCTGCTTTTCAGCCCCATCTGCTTTTCTGGCGTTCCAAGCTGCGGGGTACTACCTCCCCCTCTCGCCGAATGATCCTCGATCGATCAGCAAGGAATCAAGCGGGCTCGATCCTGCATCCTCGGATTGATGATCCGAGATCCCGAGTCCGAGCATATTCGGGCACCTTCGGGTCCTAGATCCGAAGGTCGCCAAGCTTGGACTCGAAGATCTCGGGTTCGCGGTCCGAGGATCAGGATCGAGCCTCGGCGACCCTCGATCGTCACATTGCCATCGGGCATGCTCGATCCTCCATCCCCGGATCGAGGATCCGAGCTCTTGGGCCCGAGCATATTCGAGCACTTTGGGCCCTAGATCCGAGGGTCGCCCAGCTTGGACTCGAATATCTCGGGTTTGACACCCGAGGCTCGAGGACCGAGCCCCGGCGGTAGTAGATCGCCCCGCCCGCCGCCCTCGAGCCCGCATTGCCACCGAGCAGGCTCGACCCTCCATCTTCGGATCGAGGGTCCGAGATTTTGGTTTCGAGCATCTGCGAGCACCTCGGATCCTAGTTCCGAGGGTCGCCCAGTTTGGACTCGAAGATCTCGGGTTCGACACCCGAGGCTCGAGGACCGAGCCTCGGCGATAGTAGATCGCCCCTCCCGCCGTCCTCCAGCCCACGCTGCCACCGAGCAGGCTCGACCCTCCATCCTCGGATCGAGCGTCCGAGATCTTGGTCTTGAGCATCTGCGAGCACTTCGGATCCTAGTTCCGAGGGTCGCCAAGCTTGGACTGGAAGATCTCGGGTTTGACATCCGAGGCTCGAGGGCCACGGAGAGGAGGAAGAGTGCCAAGACATCCTCCGATATGGCTAGTCCAACGCGAGGCCCCAGAAGTCCCGACCGCTTCCCCGGGGATCGTTTTTGGCCATGGATCCATCTTGAAGGGTCCTGGGCCCCAGGCCGAAATCGATCGAAAACACTTGGGTTGCAGAAGCCATATGTTTTCGATCGATTACAGGTGCATGGAGGTCAGGGGCATCCAGTACCTCCACGCCGCGCGATCCGGTCCTGCCACGCGCGCCTCCAACCTCCCGACCTTTCTGCGGCGCGCCACTGCGCGCGTGGCCGCGACGCCAACAAGAGTGGAGGCCGAGGGGGGGAAAGGACGGGGAGAAGGAGGAGGAGGAAGAGGAGGAAGAGGAGGATGAAGAAGAGGAGGAGGAAGAGGAGGAGGAGGAGTAGGAGGACGAGGGTTCGGTGCGTTTGGTATCGATGAGACAGCGCCGATTGAGCGTCGATCCTGGTTGATTTTTGCTTCGGCCAGCGTCTACCAGCGTCGGGAGGCTACGATGATCGGCGGCGCGCCCGGGGGTGAAGTGAGAAGGAGAAGACCCTCTCAGAAGGCGGGGGGGGTTCTCAGAAACACTCGTGCCGCCTGAGCTTAGAAAGCCTCTAAAGCTCAGAAAGAACACTTTAGAGCTTAGGAAGCTTTAGAAAACTTTAGAAGCATCTGACCTCCGTCTTCGGGGAAGGTTCCGAAAACTTCTCAGAAAACCGGGGGTCTTCCGAGCGCTCTGAGAAGGCACGCTCCTTGTCACTGCCGCCCCTCGTTGCGTTGCATCTTCGGGGGACCTCGCCTGCCCCCAAGATTGGTGTCTCTTCTGGTGCCCGGCGCGGGCTGGATGCGGGCCCGACGCGGACTTGGCGCGATTCGGCGCCGATCTGGCAAATATCCAACACGGACTGCGACGAGTCCAGCGTGGATTCGACGCGGACTCGACGCGGATGGCGCCGCGACGGGACAGATAAGGTCCCCCGATGGTGCAGCGTAACCCTCGTTCGCCGCCAGCATGAGTCCAGAGCCCCGAGTAATCAGGGAGGGGTATTCCGGGTCAGGGGTAATTCGGGTTCCTTTTTCGGGAATCCGAACCCGAGTTACCCCGGGCCCGAGTTATTCCGGATAATGCGGGCGCCCAGAGCCCCGAATCATCAGGGGTGCCTCGGGTCAGGGCTATTTCGGGTTCCTTTTTCGGAAATCCGAACTCGAGTTACCCTGGGCCCGAGTTACCTCGGATAATTTGGGCGCCCAGAGCCCCGAATCATCAGGGGTATTTCGGGTCAGGGCTATTTCGGGTTTCTTTTTCGGGAATCCGAACACGAATTACCCTGGGCCCGAGCTACCCCGGATAATTCGGGCGCCCAGAGCCCAGAGCGCCGAATCATTAGAGGTAAAATTCGGGTCAGGGCTAACTCGGATTTCTTTTCGGGAATCCGAGCCCGAGTTACCCCGGGCCCGAGTTGCCCCAGACAACTCGGGCGTCTATTGCCCCGAATCTTTAGGGGTAACTCGGGTCAGGGCTAACTCGAGTTTCTTTTCCAGGAATCCGAACCCGAGTGACCCCCAGATATTTCGGGCGCCCAGAGCCCCGAATCATCAGGAGGACAATTCGCGTCAGGGCTGACTCGGGTTCCTTTTTCGGGCATCCGAGCCGGAGTTACCCCGGCTCCGAGTTACCCCAGATATTTCGGCGCCCCAGTTGCACGGATCACGACGTCCTTCTCCCCTTCCTCCTCTTCCTCCTTCTCTTCCTCCTCCTCCTCCTCCTCCTCCTCCTCCTCCCTCTTCCTCCTCCTCCTCCTCCTCCTCCACCTCCTCCTCCCCCTCCTCCTCCTCCTCCCTCCTCCTCCTCCCCCTCTCCTCCTGCTCCCCTCTCTTCCTCCCCTCCTCCTCCTCCTCCTCCTCCTCCTCCTCTCCTCCTCCTCCTCCTCCTCCCCTCCTCCTCCTCCTCTCCTCCTCCTCCTCCTCTCCTCCTCCTCCTCCTCCCCCCCCTCCTCCTCCTCCTCCTCCTCCTCCTCCTTGCCTGCTCCCCTCCTCCTCCTCCTCCTCCTCCTCCTCCTCCTCTCCTCCTCCTCCTCCTCCCTCCCCCCTCCTCTTCCTCCTCCTCCTCCTCCTCCTCCTCCTGCTCCCCTCCTCCTCCTCCTCCTCCTCCTCCTTCTCCTCCTATTCGGGCGCTCAGTTAGCTGCCAGTGGCCCGCTGCCCTCAGGAGCGGGCCCCGGCCAGGGCGGCTCGGAGCTCGCCGGCATCCTCGGCGAGCTGGGGCTCGGCGGCCTGCTCAGGCCGGGAGGGGGCCGACGACGCGGGCCTGCGACCAGCTCAGTCAAGCAGTGGCGAAGCGTCTTGGCTCGCCTATAGAGCGTGTTTGTTTTATTTCTTGGGGCGTAGTGGGCATTACAGCCCCCGGCCCCCCCTATCCCCTACATCTATAACGAAATGCCTTCCTCCTCCCTCCCCCCCCCAGTGGCGCTCTGGGCACTGCCGCCGTGTGAACGGCGGGGGGAGGCGTTACATTATGCCTCCCCCTGGCCCCTCCCCCCTATAATGCCCATGATCGCCTAAAGTAAAGAAACGCGCTCCAGTCAAGCAGTGGCGAAGCGTCCTGGCTCGCCTATAACCCTGATAGGCAATTAAGAAAGCCCCCCCTCTCAGGCGAAAGTAGAACGCTCCAGCACCCTGGAAGCGTTACCCTGGCACCTCGCAACCTGCTTTGAACGCAGACGAGCCTGCCCGCCGAAACAAGCAAACCGCCTGAAACATTCTCGCAATCTGGCCTCTGTGTGGTTTTGAAACAAGCGCCTCGCCTGAGACATCCTCAGAAACTGCTCTGAACGCAGACGAGTCTGCTGTGGGGGAGTCCTATGGGGGAGTCCTATGGGGGAGTCCAATTGGGGGAGTCCTCTTGGGGAATCCTACAGATTCCTTGGGATACCACCCGAGCCAAGGCGCGGAAATTATTGATGTTCCTTTCTTCTGCGCGGTGCTAAAGATATCGTTCCGCGAAAACCGCCCACAATAATCTTTTAATTACGGTGCGGTGCTAACGATGACCCCGAGGGGGTTCTTAATTGCTTACTGAGGTTAGGCCCACCAAAGAATGTTCTAAGAACCTTTTTGCTCTGCACGAAACATTCTTAGAACATGTCTGGCTGACATTGTCTTGTTTCAACACATCGGGCTTGTGTTATAAGAACATCGTGTTTGTTATTGGAACAGTGTTGGGTTCGAAGCACACTTCGAGGCAGGACTATAGAAATGACGGGACGGTCGGTGCCTGCTCAAGTCAGGGGCAACGATAGGGGGTGGGGCAGACATAGGGGGGGATGCATCGACCCCCACTGCCCACTGATCGCCGACAGGGGCCCGATAACCCCATTCCGCCCAGGAATGTGCGGATGCACTATCGGGGGCCTATCGCCGATCTATCGGCGATGCATCGCCGATTCCAGGTCGATGCATCCCCCCCGATCGTTGCCCCCCACCCCTGCAAACCTCCAGTCGCGCATGTCGCTACACAGGAGGAATTATTCGAGGATTGTGAAGAAATAGTCTGGGGACGACTTTTCGGGTTCCTGCGGCTATTTTTGAACGTTTCTGGTCACTATTCTTAATTGTTTCTTCCAACATCCGCTTGTGGGAGGACATGCTCGACCTGCAGTGGGGGCCCATGCCAAGAAACACCCTGCTGACCTCCAGGGTGCCCTGGGTTTCTTGGGTTTCTATGGTTTTGCTATGGAAAGCGTGACGTTCCCACGCCAACAATCAATGGACGTCCTTGGGTTCCAGGGTTCGGTTTCTTGTCGAAGGTGTCTTGTGGTCGAGCCCATACTGTACTGCAAACCCTGCCCTTTGTGGGTCCCACTGCCGGTTCGAGCTTCGAGGCGTTTCGTCGGGTTTCGATGTTCGAGGTTTCGAGGCTTTTAGGTTTTCGAGCGGTTTCGTTTGTCGATTTCGTCAGAGGTTTCGAGATGTCCGAGCGGTTTTCGAGGCGTTTCGTTCAGGTTTCGAGGTTTTCAAGTGGTCTCGTGGTTTCTCGGTTCCAGGGGTGCCCAGATCGTGTCGAACGACCGTTGGAGGCCCGAGTTGTGGCCCGAAAGCCAGCATGTACTCCTTGTAGGAGGCATACTTTTGCCTCCGCTATCAAATCTTATCCCTGCGGGTCCCGCTGGCTGTGGATTATCGGACAGCTCCGTCGGCATTATGGTGTTTCAGGCTGGCGTGAGGATTGGGATGATGCTGAGGATGAGGATGATGTTGATACTGAGGATGAGGATGAGGAGGATGATGATGATGATGCTGATGATGAGGAGGATGAGGATGAGGATGATGCTGCTGATGCTGATGCTGATGCTGATGCTGATGCTGATGCTGATGATGATGATGATGATGATGATGACGATGATGATGATGATGATGATGATGCTGATGCTGACGATGACGATGACGATGACGATGACGCTGACGATGGTGAGGACGAGGACACTTACGATGACGCTTATGATGCTGCTGATGCTGATCATAATGAGGATGCTGATCATGATGATGCTTTTGTTGTTGTTGTTGGTGCTGCGGCTGATGATGATGCTGATGCTGATGACGATTTCGATGCTGATGTTGATGATGATATGCATTAGTTTCTTCTAGCGCTGTGGTGGCCTCGCTTGCTCAACGCTTTTTTGGAGCCATCGTGACTTGAGCCAAAAATGGTTAAGGGGGATCGTAGCTTGAGCAGCCGTGACTGCCCCTGCCTCCTTGGGGATGGGCCCGACGCCGCGGCCGTGGACTCGCTTTGCGCTCTCGAGCCGTCGTGACTTGAGCCAGCACGGCTACGCGGGATCGTGACTTGGAGGAGGTGGAGGGAGGAGGAGGGAGGGAGGAGGGAGGAATGAGGGAGTTGGAGAGGAGGAGGAGGAGGAGGAGTTGGAGGAGGAGGAGTTGGAGGAGGAGGAGGAGGAGGAGGAGGAGGAGGAGGAGGAGGAGGAGGGAAGGAGGAGGAGGAGGAGGAGGAGGAGGAGGAGGAGGAGGGAAGGAGGAGGGAATGAGGAGGAGGGAAGGAGGAGGGAGGAGGTGGAGGAGGAGGAGAGGGAAGGAGGAGGAGGAGGGAGAGAAGGAGAGGAGAAGAGGAGGAGTTGGAGTTGGAGGAGGAGGAGGAGGAGGAGGAGGAGCAGGGAAGGAGGAGGAGGAGGAGGGGGGGAGGAGGAGGAGAGGAGGAGGAGGAGGAGGAGGAGGAGGAGGGAGGAGGAGCAGGCAAGGAGGGGGGGGAGGAGGAGGAGGAGGAGGAGGAGGAGGAGGAGGAGGAGGAAGAGGAGGGAAGGAGCCATCGTGGCTGCTCCTGCCTCCGTGGGGGGGGGTGGGCCCGGCGCCGCGGCCAGGCCCCCGGGGGCGCAGCCCTCCGGCTACGCGCCGCCGCAGCAGGCAGGCCCTCGCCTGCGGGGTTCGGGCCGGACGAAAGGTAGCCCATGCAATAGATAGCCTCCCCGGGCTCTTTTGGTCGCGCAGGGCTCTTCTGTTGTTTTTGGCTTCCCGGGGCCCTCCACGGGCCGCTGGACCGTCTGGCAGCTGCTGGGGACGGAGAGCCGGTTCTCGGGGGAAGGCCCGGGGGTCCAGGACCCATTTCAGGCGATCGCACACATGGATCAAGGGGGCGGGGATTATCGGGCCGGACGAAAGGGGGGGATTGGGAAAGAGGGGGTTACGAAATCTGCTGCGTGCAGCTGGTTTTGGCCCCGCCGAGGGGCCCATTCCTCGATACGTAACTAGTCGCCTCCGGCGCCGGGAGGCGCCAGGAAAATCAGCTACGTGAGTTGATCCCCCCCCTTTGGCTATCCCCC